TTCTGTATTTACCAAGAGCTGTGATTTCCATGGCAACACAGGCGTGGTGCAGAATTTGTGCTGTGATCCTATGACAGAAGACATATTTGTTATGAAGTAACTCTGTTGGGGATTAGAGAGATGGCTCAGGGTTAACGACACTGGTTATTCTTCCAGAGGATCTGAGTTCAGTTCCCAGCACCCATGTGGTGGTTCATAATTATCTGAAATGCCAGTTCTGAGGAATTCAACACCCTTTTCTGGCCTTCCAGGGCACTGCATTCATATGTGCACAGACATGTAGAGGCAGAATACATCAAAGTAATGGTTAAAAGCTGGGCATGGTAGCACATGCCTTTAATCCTAGCTCTTGGGAGGCAGGAGGACTTGAGTTTGAGTCCAGCCTGGTTAACAAAGTGAGTTCCAGGAAAGCCAGGGCTATTAAACATGGAAACCCTGTCCTGAAAAACCACACACACACACAGTTATATTTAAAAAATGCTTTGTAGGCTAAGACAAAACTCACTCATCCATCCTTATGTATCTTGCATGCGTGAGTTTTTAGAGAGTGGTCCAACTGAACTTGGTTCAGTCTTGTGATCCTATTTGAGCTATTTACCAGTAGGTCTCAGGTTTTGCAGAAGGCAAAACTCCCTAGAATTCTAATATAAAAGTAGTAATCTTCAGGTAATAAAAGTATTGTCTCCTAAGCATGGTGTGCTGTGTCTCTTTGGCACTGTGGACACAGGAAGCAGGCATAATACTCTCTAGTTCCTTCACCCCCAAACACAGCCTGACCATAATACTCAAGAGTGTTTGGTAGTCGACTTGTGAGGTATGTGGTTGAGACGCTCACTGTTTGGAATTGTTCACAGGAAAGTTTTTGGCAGACAACATCGTAGGGTCCGTCCTGGTTTTCTCCTTGATATTCTGGATTCCTTTCAGCATTCTTGTCCACTGTGTGGTAAGTGATCAAACATTTTACAGAGATGTCGAGCAGCTCCAGGTTGAAAGATAGATGTGAGTGTTGCCAGTGCTGTTGTGAGTGTTCTGTGACAGAACCTCGGAGCCTGCCTGACGATCTTTGAACCGAATGGGACTGGATACTTAGCTCAGCTAGTAGAGGGCTTCTGGAGCTTGCCCAGGGCCATGTGTTCTTCCCCAGTACTGAGTAAACTAGGGCATGCACTCAGGAGGACCAAGAGCTCCATAGTGACCTCATGGGTCCCTGTCAGCATGAGACACCTGCTGCCAGACCCATGCTCTTTCCCAGGACCTAGATGGTGGAAGGAGAGAATTGACTCCCCAAGTGGTCCTCCTCCCTCCACAGCCAGGTTTTAGCTTGTAGGCTATGGCTCACTCACACACAACATACAGTTTTTAAAGTGTGTGTGTATTCTTAAACACAGGAGAGCATTTAGCTGGCCTTGCCTGTGACGTATAGTCAACAGGAGCACTGTTTTGGCTGGCTTGGTTTTAGGGGAACAAGTACAAACACTGCAGACACTCCCCATGTGCTGTGGAGATTGTTGACAGTCTCGTCTTCACAAATAAGTTAACAGTTACATGTTAAATTAGACTTTGTCTTTAGAACTCCAGGCACTTTATACATTGTGAGTTTTAAAAAATTTACCTTGAGGGCTGGAGAGATGGCTCAGTGGTTAAGAGCTGGCTGCTCTTCCAGAAGTCCTGAGTTCAATTCCCACCAACCAACCACATGATGGCTCACAACCATCCGGAATGAGATCTGGTGCTCTCTTTTGGTGTGAGGGCGTACATGGAAGCTGAATGTTGTATACATAATAAATATATAAATAAATCTTTAAAAAACAACTTACCTTGCATGGTTAGGGAGTAGGTGCCTTACAGGTGAAAGATGAGTCTTGGTGTCTGAAGCTCCCAGTGCCTCCTGATTCCTGCAGTGTGGAAAGCACTGGCACTTGTACTGAGGCAGAGCTGCTGTCGTAGTGACAGACCTGAGGCTGTTAGAAGATGCGTCTTAGGACAGCAGTCGCACCCCTCCCCAGGGCTGCCGCTGCACGTTGAGCAGATCTTGTGTTCACTGAAAGGTGTACATGTGGACCATGAAGCTGATCTTGGTGGTTTGTTTCTAGCCACAGAACGCATTCATGTCACCAGACATTAAGTTGTGGCCCAATTCTTGGTGCTGCCTTTCCCTTTGTCAGTTAGCATTCAGCCTCCTGCAGAAATACAGTATGGGGGATCAAGATTCGGTTCTGTGAAAGAGTCAGGACCGAGGGAGGCCATGAACCTTAACCTTTGCCAACTGTCCCAATGCACAGGCATGTGGATATGGGCTGATTGTGTTGCACACAAACCCACTTGTCCTTCTACCCACAGTGTAAGACGTCTTTGAAAGCAGGACTTGAAGTCCCTCCTCAATGTACCCTCGCCACTGTTGTAGAGCAGCACTTCTTTCCTGGGAGCTGAAGTGCCTTCTCAGCTAGCGAGCCTGTCCCTGGGGGTCAGGTTCTTCGTGATAGTGTGGAGGGGTGGCAGGTAGAACAAGGCCTCACGTGCTGGGCCACTGCCCCAGTGCTGAGCCGTACCCCTGCTGCCCTGCCCTGCAGTAGAGGGTCTGCGTTCACTCAGCCTTGGAGTATTGGACAGGAAGCAGTACTGCTTGAGGGTTGGGCTCCTAGTTTTAATGACATTTTTACTTCCTGTTCTTTGTAGGATAAGAAACTGGACAAACAGTATGAATCCCTGTCTCTGTTTCACCACAGCGTAAGTACACACAGAAAACCAGAGCAGGCCTCAGCTCTTCCCTCCCAGGAAGGATTGGGTGTTGAGTGGTCCTGAGAAAGTGGCTTAGTCACAGGGGTGGAAAGCTGAGAGGAACCCTGGTCTCCCAAAAAACAGGTGCTGACCCAGCCTCTCAGTTTTTCCGTCACGGATTTTGGTAGACTCAAGGTGTGGGAGCCTCTCCTGGTCCTTGAGCGCTGCCCAGGGCTACTGTGGGGGAAGGTAACAATTTAACAGTGACCTTTGACTCATTTCTCCCCACCCTTTGGACCATGCCTTTCCAGAACGTTGAGATGCTGAGCAGCATGGATTCGGCATCTGTTCGCATCATCAAGCCTTTTCCTGCACCCCAGACTCCAGGTCGTCTGCAGCCCCTGCAGCCGGCCTCCATGATGCCGCCAGTGTCTGCGGCTCCCAAACTGGAGCACCAGAGGATGGACACCATCCAGGAAGACCCCAGCACAGACTCGCATGTGGATGACGATGGCTTTGAGAAGGACCCCTTCCCCAACAGCAGTGCAGCTGCCAAGTCCTTTGAGGACCTCACAGACCACCCAGTCACCAGGAGCGAGAAGGCGGCCTCCTTTAAGCTGCAGCGCCAGAACCGAGTTGACAGCAAGGAGACAGAGTGCTAGTGAGGAGCCTCGCCCTGCTCCAGGACGTACATGCGCAGATGCTCTAAGAGCCGACCTAAACCAAACAATGCCCCCAGGAACACGCAAGCAACCTAGCAGATGCTGGTCATATGACATGACTGTCATGACATCCTGTGTAGGTGTAGGCCCTTTGAAGGGGTGGGGTAAATCTGACTCATTTCAGGTTTTGGGTTTTTTCTTTTATAATCTAAAATCTCCTTTGACCTGTGGTGCAAAAACAGAAACTAAGGCTGGATGGAGTCCTTGGTGACAGCGCTGACCATCTGCAGTCTGTCTCTCTGTACACTGTAATGGTCCCCTGGCCACAGTTCTTAGTGAGGGTAACTGGAACAAACAGACTTATTATCTCTTTGCCTTTAAGTAAAAGCAGAGGAACCTGGTTATATGTACATTGTCCCCTAATGTGGCCTGTCTTGGCACTCAAACACTTAGGACCATGCTGACTTAAGGATGGTCCTGTCCAGGATGAAGACTCGAGCTTCAGGTGAGGTCTGCAGTAATAGCCGTGTGCGTGTAGAGATGGCCTACAAAGTGTAAGAAGACAATTCAATATTGAGCTGCAGAGTTGGCCCCATCTGTTACGAGCTCTGTACTCCAGTCCCAGGGGATCAGATGCCCTCTTCTGACCTCTGCGGCACCAGGCAGGCATGTGGTGCACAGACATGCAGGCAAAATACTCACATACATAAAATAAAAAGCCCAGTGCTGTAAGAAATTTCGGTATCCACGAAACCTATCCTGCCTCAACCCCCAATGAGAAGGACACGGCTGCGGTGTCAGCTTGCCTGAGTGAGCAGGCGCTCTTACAGGCCACCTGGGGCAGCCCCAGCAAGTAGGTACTCACACGACCTCTGGCTTTAGTGCGTCAGGATCCTGGGTGCTCTGTACTTACCGTGTGAAGGATGAAAGTCATTAGCCTGGATTCTGGTTTCTATAAAGTCTACTTATAAAAGCATTTGTTCTAAGAGTCGAAATGTGCTCACCAGCCAACACGTTTTAACCAAGATAACTTGTAATCTCTGAGGACAACTAACCAGACCTGTGCCTTGTCTCTCCGAGGATGTCTGTTACACTAATACTTGAACGTGTACCTTGTGGTATTTGCTCTTAACTAGCCATGGTAGCCTTACATTTTGAGGATTTGCTATAAGGTGAGTAGGGTGTGTGGGTGTTTGTATGAATCAAAGTTTTGGAAAACCATTTTTATAAAATTATGACTTTTAAAACAAACCAAAAATGTCTTTTTTTTTTTTTTTTGCCATGTACAGGATTAACAAGCTGCTCAGGGTATATTCTGTAGCTGTGGCTGTTTCAATAAATACTGAACATCAAAACAAAATGGGTCTAGAACAACATTTCCCTGAAAAATAAGTTATTTACACTGGCAAACGTTAATAGGTTTTTTGATCAAAAGTCATGAATGGGGTAGGGGGCTGGAGAGATGGCCTGGTGGTTAAGAGCACTGGCTGCTCTTCCAGAGGATCCAGGTTCAGTTCCCAGCACCCACACGGCAGCTCACAACTTTAACTCCAGTTCCAGGGGATCTGACACCCTCACACAGACATACATGCAGGCAAAACACCAATGCATATAAAGATGTTAATCTTGAAAAAATGTTTAATTAGCTTCTAGATGTTTGTGAATTACCAACTGGGAAGGTTTCCCGGGCCGACTAATGGTCTCCGTCCCCTAGCAGACTCAGCTCGGGCTTTGCTTCCTCCACGTCCTTCCAGTAGGGAAGCAGCCATGGCAGAGAGGAGAGTTTCTTGTCCAGCAGCGGCCAGAGGTTTAAGAACAGAAACTCGTTTCCCACTGGTGATAAATGCAGGCCATCTGATAGATAGGATGAGAAGTCCTGTAAGGAGAGGAGTAACATGTCATGTGGCTTCCTGGGGTTGGCCCTTGTGTTTGTGCACAGACCAATGACTGGGACCACAGTGGCCTCAGAGTTTCTGTACAGGTACAAGACCCTTGCTGCCTATGCTTCTGTGTCCAACAGACCCATATTCCTGGGTCTCAGGCTTAATGAGGGCCTATGATTCACAGCATTAAGAAGGCGCAGGATCCTCCTAGGATGTGGGCAGGTTGGAGGTGACAAGAACTTGGACTACAATAGGAAGGCTAGACAAGAGTCTAGTCTCCCAGCACTCCTGCCTAAACCCAGGATTTACTCTGAGGAATCTTCCCTTGCCTAACCGCCGTGGAGACTGTTTAGGGAGGAGAACTCCAGTTCTAGTGGCCTTTCCCACCTGGATGGTCCCGGATTACTGATCTGTCAGGAAGATGCTCTTAGTCTTGGACCTAGACTAGAAAACTTTCCTAAACTGGAAAAGGCTTGAGTAAAACTAGGCAGTGGTAGAAGACACCCTTCCTGTACTTCCGGAGGAAAGGGTACACACATGTCATGGTGGCACGAGGAGGCCAAAGGACAGTTTGTAGGAGTTGGTGCTCTCCAACCACCAAGGAGGTGTTTAGGGTCAAGCTCAGGTCATCAGGCCTGGCAGTTAGGTGCCTTTCCCAGCTGAGCCGTCCTGCTGGCCCTGGAGCAGATTAAGCACTGAGCCTGCCGTGGCCCTTCCACTAGGGGAACAAAGCTCAGTGAAGGGTGCCGAGGACCACTGGAGACCCGGGGCTCCGAGAGCCTCCAGAGATGATGTTCTCAAGTCAGCGGCTACTGGGCATCCTGAACTGACGGTCTCTGCCTTCCAGCACCAGTCCAGGCTGTGCTCTGTCACCTTCCAGTAAGGGAGCAGCACCACGTCCCTCTTTACAGATGAGCTGTAACGTCAGACCCGGGTCCGTGGAGGCCGGGATGGATTGAGAATCAGGGGAGGGCGAAAGGTTAGTGTGTGGTTTGGTGACTGTGGGCTGAGGGCTATCCTTAGTCAACACAGCAAAACCAAACGGCTGTGAAGAACAAAACCTGGGTTGAGGGGGTTCTCCTTTGCCCGAGCACTTCAAACACCACAGCCCCGTCCCTCAGCACCACAAGGAGATGCCCCTAGAGAGCAAGCACTTTACTAAGGAATAAAAAGTAGGGAAAGACCCAGCAGACTGCTTAGCACGTGCTAAGTCCCCAGCACCCACTTCCAGGGTGGAGGTGGGAAGTTCAGAAATTCAAGGTCATCCTCAGCTACAAAGCCAAGTTCCAGGCCAGCCTGGGACTATGAGACCCTGTCTCAAAAGGGGGGAGGAGACCAGGAACCAGGAATGACGTGGAACCTGAAGGTCGTCACTGCCCTCTCCCTACAGCAGCCTTGTCTAGGTGTGAATAGCTGGAACCAAGCCCGGGACTTGAAAGCCCGCCTTCCCCATCACTTTTAGTCGTATTTCAGGCACCAGACCCGGCCTCCTTGCTGCCCAGGACTCCATGGATACGGAGATTGGGCCTCGTGTGGATTATGCTGTAGTGGACAGCCGCGTCCTCTGTCAGCGCATGGATGTGCAGCCAGCCGTATGCAACCTCCAGCTGCCCTCCCGAGCACTGCGCCTCACAACAACTTTCTCCCTGTGTATTGTTCTCAGGCTCAAGGACAAAATAATTCAACGAGATGGCATCTCAAGCTGTGGATTTTGTTAGTCAATAAATGTTGCCGTTTTATCTGAGTATCTGAGCTCTGTTCTGCTCTTACAGGCCCAAATTTGGCCCTTTATGGTGTACTACGGCAATCTCTAGCTGAGGTTCTGGTTGCCCGCCAGGCCTCTTGACTGCCCGGTTTTTATGTTCTTCATGAAAAGCATGACTGACACTTATGTCTTGAGTCATGGTTTTATGTAGGCTGGCTCAAATGTGCTATGAGCTAAGGTTGGCCTTGAACTCTTGACCCTTCCACCCTTGCCTCCCGCATTCTGGGATTACACGCCTGTCTGAAGAGCCCTTCCAGGAGAACTGCACATACCTGCTTTATGTCTGTGATCCTGAAAGGACTGAGAAAACGACAGTACCTGGTTGTCCTTCTGCATCAGGGTCCACAGGTCGAGGACATCCGTCCCACAGTCTCTGGCTGCTTGTACACATGCATTAGCATATTCACCCACAACTGCGTTCAGGCGATTTAGTTTGCACCCTGTCGGGAAAACTCCACAGCGTCACTGGCACACTTACTGCTGGTCCAGTTTCCAAGCAGCACTGATGCCAGCCTGCTTGGGGGTTATGACAGTGGCACTGCTCTGCACGGGGGAGGAGCAGCCAGCTGTATGTAGCATCTAGAAGCTTCTGAGGCACCAGGTTCGGGGTGCAGAGGCTAACCAGCTAGAGAACAGACTGCAGTGAGCTGGGAAAGGGACAAGATAGGCATGGTTAGAAAGAGACGTTGAGACCATGAGATGCACAGTGCTGCTGGGCCCAAGAGTCAGCATGCAGCCAACAGCTACTGCAGTAACGTGAGAAAAGTCTGCAGAGACTAGTCATTGCCCGAGCCTGCTCCTACACAGCTGTGCCTGCGAACACCATGCGCAACCATTCTGAGGCTCTCCTAGCCTGTGACGGCCATACCTATCTTATTCATGCTGTTGCTTTTTTGGGGTTTTTTGTTTTGTTTTTGTCAAGACAGGGTTTCTCTGTTTAACAGCCCTAGCTGTCCTGCAACTAGCTCTTGTAGACCAGGCTGGCTTAGAACTCACAGAGATCCACCTGCCTCTGCTTCCCAAGTGCTAGGATTAAAGGCGCGTGCCACCACTGCCCAGCTCATGCAGATTCTAGTACAAAGTGTGCACACTTAGCCAAGCACATGCTGCCTACCTCCCAGTCTAGGATGAAGGCAGACTTCCCAGGGCATAGGGCAAGCCTGCCCATCTTGGAAGAGCTGGGAAGAACCTCAGGAGTGCAGGTGGCTAAGGGAGGGATGTGGGGTACAGTAGGAGCCAGGCTGTCTAGCTGCAAGAGAAGGCATGAACGACTCTAACCTAGTTTTGGCTGCTGACGGGTGCTGAAAGGCCATTATTGTGCCCCGGTCAAACCCGTCCTCTGGATCCAAGCAGCTGAGACAAGAGTCCATAGTACACCTCTCCGGTCCAGCAGCTGGACCAGAGCTTGACTGCAGGTGCCTTCCCCATGCCCGACCCAGCTGCTGCAGCTGGCAGTGGGCCTTGTGTGCCTCTTAGTGTCTGGCAACTATACAGACAGTGGGTGACAGGGCACCGATGCCCTCCTGATTCACACACCAGAATCCCCGCCCCACTTCATATCTAGAACAATCTAGAGTAAGACACCCGGAGTCGATCCTTTTGAGTTTGTACATTGGTTGTGACAGGACCCTGGAGTGGAAGCCCTCAGCCCTGCATGCAGCTGTGACATGCCAAGCGTGCTCACTCACCTTTCAGGATGCATTCCTTCTCCCAGGCTGCTTCGTGCAGCGGGGGCGGGGTGATGAGGATGACTCGCTCCTGGGGGATGCCCGCAGACGTCAGGTACTGCACCATGTCCCGCAAGTTCGCTCTGTACTCATCCAGTGGGACGTGCTGCTTGGGGTTCTCACCTGTTCAAGACATGTGCACTCAGTCTGAACAGTTTCCAAAACAGCAAATGAGATGAATGGACTTCTGTAGCTTTTTAAATTGTTTTTTCAGAGTTTCTAGTCCAGACAGGTTCTAAATTCACTAGATATTAAAATGGGGTTTCCTTTTGTAGCCCCGATGGCTGAGATCTCCTGTCCCACCTCCCAGGTGCTGGGGCTAAAGGCCGGCACGCCCCATGCAGCCCTGGTTTTATGGAGTGCTGGAGAAGGAACTGAACTCGGTACTGTATACTGTACATACCAGACAGGCACTCTTCAACATCCCTGAGCCTTTGTGAGGTCTTGTTGTTTGTTTTTTGAGATAGGGTTTCTTTGTGTAGCTTTGGAACTCCCTCTTTAAACCAGCCTGGCTTCGAACTCACAGTGCTGAGATTAAAGGTGTGTGCCACCATTGTCGGTAGGCCTTTGTGTTTTGAGACAGGATCTTACCCTTTTTCAGGCTTAACTTGGAGCCTTCCGGTGCACAGACCACACACATGTGCCACCCCTCACAGGCAGGAATATATTGTTTGCAGATTTACAGTGTAACTGAGGAACTTTTGATCACCAAAGACAAAGACAAGATCCCCTCCTCTTCAAACGTTACCAAAACCGCTCACAGCTCAGACTGCAGAGGCTGGCTAGGGCATTTTGAATGTCCTGGTCTCTAGGTCCTCTACCATCAGCAAGGCTGGATCTATAGGTTGTGACATAAGACTGCCCCCATTTAGCCGGGCAGTAGTGGTGCACGACTTTAATCCCAGCATTCGGGAGGCAGAGGCAGGAGGATCTCTGTGAGTTCGAGGCCAGCCTGGTCTACAAGAGCTAGTTCTGGGACAGGCCCCAAGGTACAGAGAAACCCTGTCTCAAACAAAAACAAAACAAAAAGACTGCCCCAGCTTCAATCCTGCCTATCACTGACTGGTCATTTCACCTTAGAAAAATGCTTAGCTTTCTGAAGCTTAGTGTCCTCACTGGGGAAGGAGGGGAACGGCAGCTCTGCCTCTTAGGGTAGCAGTGAAAACAGACAAGTGTGTAAAGCACAGGCTGCACACAAGCACGGGGTGCTCTCTGCAGACTCCGTGCAAACCACAGGAGTAAAAAGCAAAGCCACCCACGAGCCTGCCATCCAAGTCACTGCTGGAGATAGGATGTGTTCCTGGCCAGTCTTTCCCTGCACCATGTGTAATTTAAGAACAAAACAAAAACAACCAAACAACAACAACAACAACAACAAAAAAAACAATAACAGGCCAGGCTGTGGCACGACCCTATCCCAGCACTTGAGAGGTAGAGGCAGGAGGATCAACTAGCCTTAGCTACCTAGTGAGTTTAGAGCCAGCCTGGGCTACAGGAGACCTTGTCTCTAAGAAAGAGACAATGCTTTCTTGCCAGAGGGAGCACGTGCCGTCCCAGAGACCAGCCCTCTGCTGGCCACTGTACCAGCTGAGGACATCAGAGTGCAGAAACAATCAATCAAACGTCATTTCAGGTGGGCCAACAAGGCAGTTATGTAGAAAATGAGCCCTAGAGGACCCAAGCCAACTCTAACCACATCAAAGCCAAAAGAAACCCTACACAGGTGAGTTCCAGGGACGCCCTGTTTTCTGGAAAACTCTCTACTGGGAGATACATATAAACATGTATTTGCTCGAGTCCAGTTAAAACAGGAATGAGCTAGAAACGCCCTTACCTTGGAGAGAGGAGTCGTTGGCACCGAAGAAGACGGTAACTGCCACCGGGGTTTCCACACTGTTCTCCTTCCTAATTAGTCTTGGGAGGATAATCTTGGCCCATCTGGTGTTGTAACCTGAAAATCCACGATTCAGAACGTCACATTTTCTGAAATAAAATTGATTTAAAAAGACAGGTTATAAGTAAAGAGTGGCTTCCTTGTAGTGCTTAGATTCTGCTCAATCCCCCAAACCCCTCAATAAGATATGAATTCCATACAAGAGGCTAATTCTATAGATGTTTATGGCCCCTCGGAGTTCATCTCAAATGGACTTCCTGATGGGTGATAATCCGGGCAAGTAGGAAATGTCAGCGATCCTCTAACAGGCGGAAACTCAGTGGTTTGGAGGATTACAGGTAGACATCCAGACAACATGAGTGCCCCCTGATCTCACACGGTGGCAAACTCGATCCAGAGAGCCTGCCTCTGTTCCTCTAACACGCACTGAGGAGGAAAGGAGCTAACAGGCAAAACCCACTGTTTGCTTCTTCACTATTCAGACCAAGCTTCCCTAGGAAGCAGCTGAGTACGATCTGGGAACCGGGAACCGGGAACCGTCCTCACCTGACAAGTCGGTCAGCCAGCAATGCGCCCCATCCACCCGGCTGGAAAGAAAACTGAAGAGAAAAGCCGGTTATTACCCACTCGGCCAGACACAATGGCAAAGGTAGGGGCTACATCTTGACACCCCCCAAGCTTCTTGCCTTCCTTGCTTGGGAAGGTATCTTGGGAGGGACACTGGCTGCACTTGGTAGCTCTCTGGAAACGCATGGACCCGAGCCAGTCATCTACACTTTACTGCGACTTCGCATTAGAGGCATTCGTTATCCAGGTTTGTCGAGTTGGGAGATGACACCGTGTTATCCCACTTCTCCACAGCTGAAAGCCAAGGAAGTCAATGCTCAACTGATTTCCCTAACAGTTGTGGCAGTCCTCTGGCAGCAACACGCCATCACAACTACTTACAAAAACCTAAAAAAAATGTTGCCAATTACTAGGGAAAGCCATGCGTGAGCATTAGAAAAGCACTGGGAAGCGGTTTTCCTATCTCTGCGAAGGAAGGCATCCTGAGGAACTTCCTTAATTGGGGGTTAAACGGTCTCAGATACCGGGATTACTTTTCCGTACTGTTGGAATCATTTTGTTTTCAAACACTTGGTACAGGACTTGGGTCGCGGGAGGAAACGAGAGGTGAACTAGCGGGTTCGAAGTTCAAAGTGCCTTCAGTCAGGAACACGTAGGAGGCTTCGGGACCTCTAAGCACCCCATGCACCCCCGACGCGCAGAGGGTCATCTAAACCCTCCGTGCACCCCCGACGGAGCACCGAGCCATCTAAAGTCCTCCTGAAAAGACGCGGTTTCGCGTACCCGGAACGTCCACACCAGCCCGCGAAGGTGCACGGCCAGCATAGCACGAGGAGAAACCGCACCGGGCCCGCCCGACACGCGCAGACGCAACCGAGGGTGCAGTGAGTACCTGGGTGATGGAGTCCCCGAAAAGCAACACGCGAGGCCAGAGCAAAGAGCTCCCGCCAGCAACACGCTCACACAGCGCCATGGTGCCGGACTCCGAACACCGTGCCGGATGTGGAGCCTCCGGGGGGCGGAGCCAGCCGTGGGCGGAGCCTGGTCTTCTGTTTCTCCCGCCGGCTTTTCTGGGCCCCGTGAGTCGGTAGATCGGGGCTGTGGGGGCCCACTCCATCGCTCTGTGACCGGCGATAGCTGGGGTGCCCTGGGTTCTTAGAGAAGCTCCGTGTGCCCAGCGCAGGCTGGCGGAGCTGAGACCTGCTTCGGCAGGCCCGCTCCTCCATCTCCGGCCACGCCCAAGTGGGGCTCGCCTCTCCTTGGTTACTGGCCTCGATGGACACAGTGAGGAGACAACTTTGAAAGCCCGAGCTGTCCGGGAACCCTCACTCCAGACTGCCTGATTCCAAAGCATTAAAACGGAATGTTTAGCTCTAATAAATTTTTGTATGCTATGGGGGCCCTAGACTTTTGGTATAGGCCAAAGACATGGGAATTGGGCTGTTTTACAGAAATCTCATAAAGTCAGACTTATACTTTGTTACCAGAGCGCAGGAGTACTTACACACCTACGAGGGGAGGTGCACCGGCCAGGTTACAGTCGCGAGATTCTGTGGCTTGACTGTGCGTTGAGGATGAGGCTCTAGCCAACTCCAGGAGAAAGGTGGGGACCACTGGGAGCCACCACCGGCTCCAGCCAGTACTTTAGGAAACGAAACTAACGAGCTGATCTACACATCTGTCATAAAGCTAGCTCTGAGCTGACATGCGGATCCCATACAAAGGAGCGTCCTGAAAGCAGTGGCTTTAAACACATAAGCAAGGAATCCGGTAAGGGTGGAGAAAGGTTTCAAACCTGTGGCACAGTATTTGCTTTCAATTCAAAGCACAGGTATGCCAGAATGGACACTGCTTTTCCTTTCGGAGTCTGCGCAGCTGCTAGATCTTAGGATTTCAGCTCATGCTGCAAACACCTGCAGGTAGAACCAATACTCAAGAGGCGGCTCCCTGAGGACAGCTCAAAACCAACGGGCGAATCAGTCAGTGGTCCAGCAGGATTCAAGCCGTTTGATGCTGAAGGAAACAGGCACCCCAGAGAAACTAAGGTATTTTACTTGAGGTAACAGAGGTAAAGCCAAGAGTGTACAAAAGTTCAAGGGCAGGGGATCAAGGTAGTCAGTGCACGGGCGTCAGGGCCTCGTACAGCCGCTGGGCGGCCAGCTCCACCATTTCTCGGAGGGACTCGTCATCCTCACTTCCTTCTTCACATTCTACAACCTGGAAGTGAAAGCACAAACCTCAGCCTGGAGTCACTGGTGAATAAAGTGAACACATTAAGCCCCGAGGCTGCTGCCAGGATGCAGCCTCTTCCCTGTGCACCTGTGGTAGGCAGTGTCCCTGACCACAGTGACTGGACAGCCAAAGGGATGGGGCACGAACAGACTCCCAGGCCAGAGCCCCTCCATCTATCCAGCACACGGTACTCTACACAAGTTAGTCTGTGTGGCACGGATTTAGCGGCTATGGATGTGGTAAATTATTCTCCACCTGGTGCTAATTTGGCTCAAACTAACCATCTTCTGGTGGCCCTGCCTTACTGCTGCTGTTTAAAGGTGACGTTAGTCTCACTCTGCAGATAGGCTTCAAACTTGCTGAAACTCAGGCCACACTCCTGAGCAGTAGCCTTACAGGCATGCGTTACCCAACCTAGTTTATGGCAGCATACATCTTTTTTTTGGGGGGGGAGGGGGGTCGAGACAAGGTTTCTCTGTAGCTTTGGAGCCTGTCCTGGGACTAGCTCTTGTAGAGCAGGCTGGCCTCGAACTCACAGAGATCCACCTGCCTCTGCCTCCGAGTGCTGGGATTAAAGGTGTGCGCCACCACCGCTCGGCTGGCAGCTTACATCTTACAGCTCAACCACAAAGCTCAGGGCCAGCCAGCTCGGAGAGGATAAGAACCTATCTCACAAACCACAGCAGGAACCAGGGTTGTTGGGACTACAGGCATGTGCTTCCACGTGCTCACTTCTGTGTTACGAGGAGAACCTGGGCTTTGTCCACATCAGGAAAGGCCACTACCAACTGAGCTAGCCCCCAGCCTCCAAACTGCCACACCCAATGGCCCGGGCTGCAATCGTATTCCTGTCTTCTCATTTCACCCCACATATCTTGGGCAGCTACATACCCGCGTCTCCAGGTTCAGATTTGCTGTTTTCCCGTCCACTGTAACGCTGAGGACAGAGTCATCTTTCACACTGACACAGTCTTCTCCAAATATGTCCCTTTAAGTGAACAGAAAGTTGCTGTTACTGGGAAAATGCTGCTTTACCTGTGTGGGAGAATGATACTGAAGAGAGGCCCAAGTCCTGCAGTAGGATGCTTTCAGCAACCCTGGAGACACGCTGCTGACCGTCAGCTTTCTACAACAGTTAAAACACAGCCCTGCTCAGGAGGGTACACCACCATTCCATTTAGCAAGCACTAGTATTGGTTTGGTATTAATTTAATACTGGGGATTAAGTGTGGGGTCTTGCACTGGTCTTTAAAACTGTTCTGAGACAGGCCTCACACAGCTGCCGAGAACAACTTCCAACTGCTATGCAGCATAGGTCTTGGAATCCTCCAATTTGGGGCCAACTTGGGCAAGACAGTGAAGTTATGTCTCTAAAACATGAAACAAAATAAAAAACCAACTAAGGTCATTATTTAAAAGCCACTGTAAGCAGTCTGAAATTTCAGAAAAGCCGCCCAAACACTAAGATGTCTACGTTAAGAGTCACTTTCAACTTAAAGCCAGAAGCAGCCATTGACATGATCAGAAACTGCAGCATCCCCAGATGCTCAAAGTTAAAGCTGGCTGCTGGGTGATGGGTTCTGACACCACACTGCTAACCAGGACGTGAGGCCTAGGTGAGGAGACAGGCCCCTGGGAGCTTTCTCCTCTGTTACAGTCCATCATCAAACCCAAGGCTACCTAGCCATGGCAGAGTTCTCCGAAACCATGAGGCACAATGTATCTTTCTTCCCTTTGTCTTGTAGGTATTTGTCTATAATGAAAAACTAAGTTATTCATTCAACAAGCAAATGAGAGACCAGCACTTCAGGCACTGTGTTAGGTGCTGAAATTATAAACTAATTGCCACTGGTAAGGGCTCCTAAGATCACTTGGAAAAGCATCTTGAAATCAGCTTAAAGAGCACCTACAGGAAGGCGCTGGCATTAGAAACATACTGAGTCTAGAGACATTTCATAGTTACAGACTTACTGGAAAGAGCCTGGAACACCCACTTTCTCAAATAATTCACACCCAAGCAACATTTAAAATAATTCTTTTTTTTTTAAAAAAACTTTAAATGATTTATTTAACTTTATTTTATGTGCATTGGTGTGAAGGTGTCAGATCTTGTGGAACTGCATTTTCAGACAGTTGTGAGCTGCCATGTGGGTGCTGGGAATTGAACCCGGGTCCTCTGGAAGAGCAATCAATGCTCTTAACCGCTGAGCCGTATCTCCAGCCCCTTAAAATAATTCTTAAAGGCACAGTGACCAGTTGATCAGCACCCAGTCTCGACAAAAGTGCTTCGTGAGCACTCCTGGAGGCCTGTGGGCACTGCCATCCAGCACTGACCACTGGACATAACTTGGTACAACACACCGTAAGTTCAGCACTCCCACCGTGCACCCGCATGCCCATGCACCCGCACACCCGTGCGCTCCCGAGACTCACTGGAGCATGACTTCCAGCCTCTTGCTGTAAATATGCATCTCTAACTTCTTAGAGACCTTCTGCACGGCACCTAGAGGACAAACAGCTCAGTCTCCATTTTCCCGTTTACCATCATCAGACAGACAGGTCACCAGAGCATGGCTATGGAGACGTGAAGTAACCATGGAGACCTCAAAGTCAAAGCATGTGATGTGTCTGTCACATGCCCACTCAGGCAAAAGCATGTGCCGTGTTATTCCATGTTTTTATAAAGAAACCACAATGACAGTCACTTTTATTTCCCATATTTCTCAAACTTACATTTTGAAGAGAGATGAGTAAAATTATAGGTCCAATAATCCCAAAACACATTAAGCTCTTTTGTATCTAAATGTTATGTACATCTAACATCTGATACGGCATCTGATTATGGATGTTTACTTCTTGCTCTTGCAGAGGACCCGGGTTCAGTTCCCAGCACCCACTCGGGGCAGCTCACAACCTGTAACTCCAGCTCTGGTCTCTACAGGTGTCTTCATTCACGTACACACGACTGACAGTGAATCTTAAAAAAAAAAAAAAAAAAACTCGCCAGGCAGGGCAGAGGTGGTGCACACCTTTAATCCCAGCACTCAGAAGGCAGAGGCAGGCAGATCTCTGTGAGTTCAAGGCCAGCCTGGTCTACAGGGAATTCCAGGATAGCTAGGGCTATATTAAAAACCCTGTCTTAAAAACTAAAATAAAAATAAAATAATGATAATAATAATAATAATTAAAGGTGCCTGCCTATTAATGACTTTTTTCCTTTTCTTTTTTAAACCCCAACAAACACACAACTTGATGGTCTAGATGACATCTTCAATCTGGAATTAAGGTCACCCTGGCACATCCGTTCATATACCTCCCTGGTCTGCACCCATTCAAGTCTCTGCTCCCCCAGGGTAGGTTGAGCTAACATGTGACCCTGCCCTACTCAGAACATGTGTGCACACACACAGAATCTTTCCCCCTGTGGCAGTATCTCACTATGAAGTCCCAGTGCTCACTACGTAGCCCAGGCTGGCTTTAGACTTCGGGGACCCTCTTTCCTCTGACTCCCAAGTGTTAAGATTAAAGAAATGTGAACCACACCCAGCTTCTTTTCAATATTTTGGTGTTTGATTCTATAAGATAGGGTCTCCTGTAGGGTCCAGGCTGGCCCAAAATTGCTATATAGCTGAGGCTGGCCTTGAACTCTTCCTCCTGGCCAGAACCCTTCTCAGTGCTGGGGAAGGTTCCCAGGACTGGGTGCTCCTTATGCAAGTGCTGTCACCACTGAACCACATCACACACAGAGCAAATAGCAGCACC